CATGTTCAATTATAAAAATATCAATCTAAGAGCCAATATGATCAAACTGCCAGAAAAAGGAGTGTCTATGTTTTTGATTATATCATAGTTATTTTCAGTAAAGAACGTGGTCTAACATGACCTCAAAACCTCAAAATATTTATTTTTTCTTTCTCAAAAAAGAAAAAAAAGAAAAGAAATTGTGGGGAAATCTTTAGCTTGAATAAAATATATGCAAAAAACCTAGGGCCAACTTGTAAGGCTTATATTTATCTTATTATTATATAATATTTCTTCTACTATCAGATACTGTATTTAAAAAGGATTGATTATTGAAAGCTCTGGACTGACGCACCAGTGGCCATGCAACCCTTAACTTAAGGATAACTCCTCAAACCTAAATACAATTGTAAAAAAATAAAAGTCAATTTATTAAAATAACTTTTTGTCATATTCACTGAAACTTCCACTACATCCTGACAGCAGAACATGAGACAGATAATCTGTGGAACAATCAGGTTCCTCTGGCTCCTCCTAGTGTTCCTAATGGCATTTGCAAGAATCTACCGGGCCTGAACAAAAACAACCAATCAGAGCCAAGAAAGATATAAAGACACTTTATAAGATTGTTGAGTCTCATTCCCAGTGTCCCAAAGTGTCTGTATTTGTGACCTGTGAATGACACTCAACATTCAGCTATCTTTCTTGGCACTATGTTAAACAGACTTAACTACAGTTAGCTTACAAAGTGAACGGCTCATATGTTATTTCATTGTGTGTCACCTAGCACTTCCACCGTGTTGTTGCGTTTGAGTGCCAGTGCGAGCTCGGACGCTCCATGGTGGTTGATCTGATTGTTGCGCAGGTCCAGCTGTGTCAGCACACTATTTGAGGCCAGACCCTCACAAAAGAGTGAGAAGGCTTCGTCCCACACCCCCAAAGCATTCCACTCCAACACCAGCCTGCAGACAGTATTTATTCGTTTTAAGCACAATGTGTTAATTGGGATAATGTTCGCTCCAATAACGTATAGTAGCAGTCAACTTTGATTAATTGAAGTACTTGATGTTTAAATGGGGTACACTGTAATGGGAGCTGGTTCCCCTGCTCCAAAGTGGTAGCGAGGACTGCGCTAGCATAAAATAATTTTTAAAAGCAATATTGTACAAGTATTACTTGTACAAAGCTAAATTCGGCCATGGTTACACCACACATAACAGCTCAAATTAGGAAACTGACATTCTTGAGTTTTTCTCTTTAGTTACTTCAATATTGGCTGGATTATATATTTTATTAAATTATGTTTTTTTGCATGGCAACTTATGTGAAGCTGCTATCTGACATACTGCACTTTTTTTAACAGGTAAGTCTACCTAAATTTCCCACATTTTGATCACTAGAAGAAGAAGAATTGTTTATTATTTATAAATTGTTTGTTCATTTTAATTGTAACACACAAAACACATCTGCAAATCTTACTTCATTTGTAAAGATCATGTGACTTGATCAGGAAAGTGCTTTCTTGACCTCAGAAACAGTAGTTAAACAAAATCATATTAACTCCCTTATTAGCTTTTTCCTACATTTTGAACCACATCTCAGGGTTCACAGCAGCTGATTAGCACCACAAAATATAGCTGGTAAGTGGATCTTCAATTAAGATTATTGTGTCAGAATTTAAATTATTTGTTTGATATTTTATAACACAAAAATTAAGTTACATTCTAAAATGACCACACAAACTGTGTGACAGAAAATATTCAGAATCAGAATCAGAATCAGAAATACTTTAATAATCCCCATGGGGAAATTACTTCAATTCTCTATCATTCTCACCTGTGCAGAGTCTTGTTACGTGCCAACAGCTTTCCCAACACCTCAGCTCCTTTGAATCTCAGGTTATTCCCCTGTGAACAATATTTTGCATCAACTCACTACCAATATGCTAGTCTCATTAGTGTCTTAGTGTGGACAGTCTAATGTGGTTACCTTTAGATCCAAGACTTTTACAGTTGTGTTGCCAAACAGTCCAGTGAGCAGCATGTTGGCCCCTACGAGTCACACACAATAAAGCAGACACTGTTATACATGATTCAATGTGAGCCCAAACCACCAAGCATTATGTGTGTATCAAAGCCTGATATATCTTCTACCTCTGTGCCATAGAGCTCCATTGTTAACAAAAATACTATTAAAAACACATCAGTGAGCCACACGGTATGGTACATACACCTATCAACCATAACAACATGACCACTGAGAGTGAATACCACTGATTATCTGGCCAAATTGTGAAGGCTAGACGACTGGGTCAGAGCATCTCCAAAACTGCAGCTCTTGTGGGGTGTTCCCGCTCTGCAGTGGTCAGTACCTATCAAAAGTGCTCCAAGGAAGAAAAAGCAGTGAACCAGAGACAGGGTCATGGATCTTGAGACTTACACACCTTCCTCGCTGAGCATGCAGTCACTGAGTGACACCTCTGTAAACACAGTATCTTTCTGGAAGGCCCTGGCCAGCACAGAGCAGGTATCTGCAGAGAGGCTCTGTCCACTCAGGTCCAGTCTGGAGCCCAGAGCAGCCCTGTTCTCCTGGAGCTGAGCCACAACACTCTCCTGAGGCTCCACACCTCCCTCCTTACACAGACGCAGGTATGTGCGCCTGAAATCCTCCATTGTGGGTCAGCAGTCTCTCCTTTTCATCTGAGATGTACAACGTTATGTTCACGTCTCTTTCCTCTGTGACTTGTCCTGTTGACTAGAGAAGAAAAGAGTGAATGTGGAGACTAGAGATGAAATGATACTAAACAACTATTTTGGTAGTGGATAAATCCTTCAAATGTTTCTCAACTCGTGTGATTATAAACTGAATATCTTTGGGTTTTGGACTGTTGGGCATACAATACACTGTAAAACCAGATAAGTAAAATTAACTCGAAAATTGTTGAAACTACTTACATCAAACATTTTAAGTAACACAAACATTTGTTAGGTTAAAGAAAATTCTTGATTAAGCCGGTTTAAATAGTAAGATTGTGTAATTTACAGAAACATTCCTGATTAATAACTTTTTTACGAGGTATTTTGTTTTCACTGTACAAATAAAAATTGTCTTAAATTGACATTTAAATAATGTCTTCATAAATGTTCAAAGTAGGATCACTATAAATTATAATCAATAAAAATTGCCAACTGTATTTCTACCCATTATATTCCAGCTTCCAATTCAATTCAATCGACAATTACTAGTAAATTAGAAAATCTAAACTAAGTGTTACAAGTAACAACAAGGACTGATCCTACAAGTACTCCCCTAAGTCAAACGCAATAAAAAAAATGCAGCAATTTAAACTGCATTATGACTTCGACAGAAACACATAGCATTAAGATGAAAATCTTTCCAATACCAGTAAAATCACCTCTTCAATTCGGTAACATACAACGTAAGAAGCCACAAAGAAATGCAAACTTTAAGAACAGATTTGCCAGTTATGTTAGCTAGGTCGCGGAAGCGAGCAGTGACACAAAAGCGTAAAATTAAATGAAATAAATGGTGCTTGGCGAAATCATGTGTATGCCGAATCAGAATATAGAATAGGCTTCTATTGATAAAAATATGTTTGATTTATTTTACAACATACATAGTCTTCTGATAAGCAGGCTAAAACTGTATTGCCAAATACTGAATGGGAGTGTCGCGTAACGATATAGTTACAGTATTTCCACGCGAGTGAAAGGCTCGTACAGGGCTATAAAATGGTTAACCGAAGTGTTTTCGTTGAGAAAGCTTTGCTGAAAAATAATAACGGTATCTTCAGACAAAAACACACAGACCTCAGCAGTATATATTCCTGGCAGTTATTGTTGTTATAGACAGCTCAGCTGACTGGCAAAGGAAGCCAAGCGACGAAGTAACTAGGAAGTGTGTTTTGGCGCAAAGCATCTTGGTCAACGTAGTTTCAAAAACGTAAGCATTTTACGGAAAGATTTTTTTTCCCCCTCCAAACTTTATTTAAAAAGAATAAAATACTGTAATAAACTCACTTCGGTACAAACATGGATCACACCTGCTATGGCTAAATACATTTATCGGCATAATAACGAATAAGGAATAAATCAGTAAAATAATAATAAATAAACTAATGAAATAAACAAGGGACTAGATTAAACCATACTGGAATTGGAATTTTAGGAATTATGTTCTAGCCAATATTTCAGTTTTTCCACAGTTTGAGAGTCCTCCTTATTAAACCTTACATGGTAAAATATCAAAAACACATTTTGCCTCAAAAATGTATTAATACTACGTTATATTAATATTTTATAATTTAGTGTATAAGTGTTTAGTGTATAATTTGGTGTGATAGGTTGTTCACCACCTTCATATAGGATTATTACCATTTCCGTCCAACAGATACACTATTGACCAAATTACTATATTATTTTTTTCATCAGTCTTCCATTAATATATATTATCTTTTAACTTTTATGAAAAAACCTTTTTGCCATATTTACTGTCATAACCAATATATCCAATTATTTCAATCAAAAAGTCAAAGGTTATTTTATTTATTTTAATGTCATATAACTTTATGTTATTTTGCCTCGGAGTCCAGATAAGAAATAATGATGAATTAATCTTACCAGCAGGTGGCGGAATACAACAACGGCTCTTAGCCGCAGCTCGTGGTCACTACATGAGTAGAAGAAGAAGAACATTGGAACAAGCATGGCAGGAAGCATCAGCCCCACTGCGGCTCCGGTAACTAGTTCTCTGTCTAAACTACAGTCTTTAAATGGACTGTTTGCGATATATAAGAAACAAGGACCGACGTCGGCAGACGTGTTGAATACGCTGAAAGAAGCGTTACTCAAAGGTAATACGACCGGAACGCGGAAATAAGTTTGTCATTTATTGAAGCTAAATGTGAAATGTTTTATCTTTCTTCAGAAGCTGGTGTTCAAAACCCAAACCCGCGAAAGAGGAAGAAGCAGAGCCTGAAGATTGGGCACGGGGGGACGCTGGACAGCGCCGCCAGTGGGGTGTTAGGTGAGCGGGTCCACGTGCGGCTGGCTGTTGTCATCCGGGCTGGCTGGGTGCTAGTGGGTGCTAGTGGAGCTAAAGGGAAACACTTTTATAGACGTGCAGCACAGAATTGTGGGCACTCTTCCTAGCTGTCTCTGCGGGGCTAGGTTAGGCAAATACAATAGAAGAAATTAAATACAAAACTATACAAAATACAATAAACACAAGGGAGACAAATAATGTAAAAGCCAATGATTAAAACCCTTAAAACTAAGGCTATAACATTCCTTCAAATTAAAAGAGACAAATAAAAAGCTAGGTCTTTAATTTCCTTTTTTAAACTACAGAGAGAGCTTGCCATTCTAATATCCAGAGGTAGAGAGTTATAGTTTAGGCATAAAAACAGAAGGCACTTATATGGGACACATGAAGAAAATTCAATCGAAAAGCAGTAGAGTTGTGATCTGATGGCAGCAGCCTGACATAGTGAATAGCGAATGCGATGTTGGAGAATCGCTCATACAAAATATCAGTGAGTTCAGAGAGGCAGTGTAGGGATTTGTGTGTGGTGCTCAGTAGGGCTGAACGATTTGGGAAAATAATCTAATTGCGATTTTTTTTCCCCCCAATATTGCAATTGCGATTTAATATGCGATTTTTTAAATTTATGTTTTTTGTTATCCTCTTTTTTTTTCCCGAACAAAAACATAAATGAATGGAATGACCAACACATATATTAGATACATTTAGGTTAAATGTTCTTTCCCATTAGGCTGGCGCCTATTTGTTGAGATTAAATTAAATATGTATGAGCTTGAAATAAATGCACTTTTTATTTTAACTTGCTTTGACAAGGAACATCTGTGGGCTTTGCCACTGATGGCCATTTTTAAGTAATTTAAACAAAGGGCCTGCACTTTGTAACACTGTGCAAAACTTTACGTCTTTAAGAAATTTAGTTTTTTTTTAAATATATGTATCTTCTGCTCCCAAGTCGCTAACATTCTTCATCTGCTCTTTTTTGTACAGCTCCGGGTATCGCAGTCTGACTGTAGTATGTACGGAGGGGGTATACTGTACCGTTTACTTCAACCGGTATCTATCAATGCCATGAACCCAGGTCTTGGACCGTGCTGAGAGGGTCATATCTTTGGGCTATGAACTGGTTTATTGCCCGGAGTTGCATTGTGGCCCCATGCCGTTTTGAATTACGTTCAGAATGAGGTGACATCTTTTCAAACATTTCGCGTCAGGTGATTCCTGTCTTGAGGTATTTGGCTTGTCTGGCCGCACTTGGTGCTCGGCTATTTGGCCATACCAAACTGTCCATACATTGATTTGGTGGTATTTTTTTTGAGTGCGTGGAAGTTATGAGTGTTACCCGTGAAGTAGCAACGGGGAGCCTGGGGGGCATTGCTCCTGCCCACAACACCTGACGCCTGCGCAGCATCTTCTTTTTTGGAAAAACCCAATAGTCTACACACCACCGACGTGCTGGTTTTCTCCACAGTAAAGTCTCAGCGTTGGTCAGTTCTGATGTCCGGTCGAGCAGAGGGCCGTTGCGCGGCAAACGATGTCTAAAGGCCAGCATGAAAAGGCTGGATGATGCAGCCGAGTTGTCCACTCTTTCGCTCGTGTCACGTGACCACCTTGTAATCGCGCACGTTGCGGTTAGAAAATCGTGTTTTATCATATCGCGATATTATCGCAAATGCAATTAATCGTTCAGCCCTAGTGTTCAGAGGATGAGCCACTGAAGGACTACATTCAGTGTGATATATGTATGAGAGATTCAGATTTCTGTTTACTTTAGCCCATTAATTTAGAACAATGAACAGACAGTTTCACTGGAACTACTTAGTAAGTGTTCTACATCAGGTATTACTGGACACCCAGCAACCAATCAGAATTGAGTATTCACCCAGATGATGGTATAACGCTTTGAACAAGTAAAAGAACTTTAGAATCAGTTCTAAAAGATACAGGCAGCAAGTGCAGTGTCAATGGACTGATGTGATCCATTTTCCTAGTTTCAGTTTAGATGCTGCCGCATTAATTACAGTAATCTTAACAACTGGTTATAAAAGCGTGAGTGAGTATTTTGGCGTCATTCTGACTTAAATGTCTGACTTTGCCAATATTACTAAAATGAAAAAATGCTGTTTTTAATTAGCTTGTTAAAATGAGAATTCAAATTTAAATCAGAATCTAAAATTACTCCCAAATTTGTGACATCATTTTTAATCTGTTTGGTAAAGTCACCCAGCATTGAGTAAAATGTTTCCTTATAAAATGTGGCCTTATTAAGATATATTCCCTTATTTAGCTTTAGAGAGTTGCATATCTTTATGTCAGCATGGCACTGAGAGCGTGTAGTGTGTTGGGGTTGTTTAGTGAGACAGCTACATTTTGATATTTAGTTATAATGATCGTTAAAACGTCACAAACATTCCCAGGGCCACTGATGAATATTACGGCTGTAAAATTGGCTGTAAAATCAACAATCTGTACATCATTAACACTGCCATCTCTCAGGGACGCTAGCAGGACTTCAGACTCTAACACTGTCTCTTTGACTTTCAGTGGTTGGTGTTGGGAATGGCACAAAGATGCTCAGTACAATGTTGGCTGGTTCTAAGGTGAGTTTGTTTGCACTCATGTAAACAGTAGATACATAGTCAGTCAGCTGATACATACAACAAAGCTATAAAGAGCTACATCAACAAACCTGTTCTGCTCAAAAACCATGTGTGTATTTCCTTTTATGACAATTCTCTCTTCATTGTAAAACCATAGCAGGAAGAAACATACCACAAAAATAGAGAAAGCTGTAAGCAACAATGTGTGATGGTAGCTACAACAGAATGTATGTTATTATATGATGTGATACAATCAAATGAAACTTGATTTGGATTAAACCGGGATATACAATACTGAAAAGAGAGAAATAATGACTTTAGGAAAACCTAAACATGTTGGATACAAGAAACCAAGTGTATTAAAGCTGCAGTAGCTAATCTTTATAAAAATAAGTTTGTCATATTTGGTGAAACTTTCACTGTATCCTGACAGTACATGACACAGATAATCTGTGAATGAGAACAATCAATCGGAGCCAAGAAAGATAGTTGATTGCTGGTCTCATTCCCAGGTTGTCAAATACGTTTATACAACGTTTTCTTTCGGGTTTAAATGATTCTTACAAATGCCATTAGGAGCACTAGGAGGAACCAGAGGAACCTGATCTTTTTCACATATTATCTCTCATGTACTACTGTCATATAGTGAAAGTTTCAGCAAATGACATTATTTTTATAGTTGCCTACTATAAAAATTATTTGTAATTTCACACTTTAAGCTCACTTTTGGGAGGATTTTAATCATAGTAAAGCTGAATTTTGAAGAGAAGACAAATACCAATTTTGTGGGTAGTACCACAAAAGTAACATAACTAGTAGTGTAACTTATTACTGTTGGCAGGCAGTAATAAGTAAAGTCATATTCTTTTTGAAAGAAATTATTACATATTTTGAGTAACGAGCCTAACACTGCTGTACAGTCACTAAACCCTACCACACTTATTTTTTTAAATTGAGAAATTCTGGCATGAAATGATACACTGGGTTAGCTGGTGCTTTAGGGTGTTTATGCCTCCGCATGTTCAGGCTCACTGTGACCCTAATGGTGACAGACATTAGGGTCACAGTGATGAACATCCTTCGTAAATGCGACTCATCCCTCAGAACACCTTCGTGGGAATTTCTTCAACTTTGGCACAACAAACTCCATTTGGACTCAAGGATTACTGAAATTACAGTTTTGGTGGCTGAAGGTCACTGATGTCACAAAACACGGGTTTTTAGGTCACAGCTCAAGCATTTATAAAGATAATTCATCGAAAAATGTCACCAACGATTTAATAGGTACAACGATGAAGTAATGAAACTATTTTTTTTTTTTTTTTCAACTGTTACTATGGTCTTGGAATAACTAATTTCTTTGGCCTTTTATTCAGCACCATAACTCCAGGAACCAAAGGGAGAGAATGTGACACCATGGGGAGCATATTTTAACAGATTAGTCAGACAGCTTGAATTTGGTGACACTTGACTTAAAGCGTCATTTTTTTTTATCATAAAGAAAGCTAACAATCAGAGTTCATCAGCAAACTTACCAATATATCTCTTCACAATGGCTATTGACAATCATTAGTGTATAGAAATAATACAAGAGAGGCGGAGAGAACTGGATTTTTCTCTGCATTCTGTTCGTGAGGAAGTCAAGGAATTCAGCCCTATGCGTTGGGTCTATGCAAAAATGTTGACTAGTTTCTCCAACTAGCAAAATGTGGCTGGACTGGAACGGAAAGCTGATGAAGAAGTCAACAAAAAGCTGCGTGTTTCTATGGTAAATTAAGTAAAGGCGAAAAGGTAAGCATCTTGCCCTCAAAACTCTGTGGTCCCATTAAGCATGACCGCTTGGCTCCAGAGGCAGAGCGGTCGTCCAGGAAGGTTGTTGTTCGATCTCCCGCTCCCTCCCCGCCACGTGTCGAAGTATCGCTTTGAGAAAAAGATACTGAAACGAAATGCTTCTATCGTTATGTAAATGCTGATGGGAAATCATTAGTTTTCTGTTCGATGGGCTTTGCCCATCACTTCGAGGTCGAATGTGGTGTGAAAGGGTGAATGCGGCACGTAGGTGTAAAAGTGCTGTTGATGGGTCGAAGACTAAGGTGCAACAAGTGACAGGTCCATTTTACCTCTACCAAACTGAAACAGGCTCCATAAGCGCTCTGTTTTTTGTTAAGAGTCTGCACCTTTTGATTAGCCACCACATCCCATAGAGATGGCAGCCCTCTGCTGGATAAGGTGACAGTTGGATAAGATGTCATTTTAAAAATAGGAACCCATGTCACAGTGCTATATTACCCCATGCCTGGTTCTTCTCTGGAACTTTTAGCTGCCCACAAATCCTGCACACTTCCTTAGTAACTGTTTTTAGCTCACGTCTCAAGGATCTCATTAGCCTTTTTTCGCAGAAAGCAGTTTTCGTGAAAACACGCGTATAACGACACTGCACACTACTGTCCTCAACCAAGTGCAGCAACGACGCAGTTAAGAAAATATTAACTGCTTGAAAGGATCCGTATGAGGGGAATATCACCTGGGTACTGAACTTGGGTACAGTCATAGCGGCTTTCAGGAAAAACACTACGTTTGGACAGACAACTGTCAAGCTGTTTTAGCCCCAACATTGTGGAATAGTCTTCCCATTCCACTCAGATTCACTGAATCCTACTGGAGCAGTTTTTAAAGTTGCTACTCAAACCCCACCTCCTACAGGCAGCCTTTTCTATACTATTTTATATTGTTTTCGTTTTTCTCATCTGTCGTCTCTTTTAAATTTATCCCCCTTCTTGTTTTTATCTCTTTGTTTGTTTTATTTACAATGCTATTTAATGTTTGTTTCTGTGTGTTATGTTATATTTATTTGTTGGTTTGGAAAGTACTTTGGATCTCTGTGTCAAAAAGGTGCTTTAAAAATAAAGTTTTACTACTTACTTACACTAAATGAACTTGTGTTGCTTGAGTTAGCTATCAGTGTATGCTGGCCCTGCTATCTGCCTTGTCCGGTTAGGTCGGTTCACCTCATGGGAACCGTAACCAGGGCGGCATCCTCTATCACCAAAGCGGGGACAGAGAGCTTCAGGACCAGCATGAATGTTTACAGACCTTCGTAGGAGAGGGAAACACAACCGAATTTGACAGTGACTTGACAGGAGGTCCTTACTCTGCCACTTTTTCCCAGTACTAACACCGTCCGCACCACGAGTCTTTCCTTCTTCTTCTTCGGCTTATCGGCTGCACATACTGCTGGCCATAACCTGTTTGTTCATTATGTTCCTTTGAAGTTAATCTTATACTTTTATGTAGTCCAATACTGTACAGAATTCACTTTCTTCAGCAATTTAGTCTTGTTACCCATGTTTGAGTAAAGTAAGCAGAAATCAGCATAAGTTTTTTCTAGCTGCTTCCAGGTTTCTTAAACAGCTTCCCCTTGTGTCGCCCTGCCCCTAGTCCATTGAATTCGTTCTGATGTTTGACCTAAAGGGTATCTTTTGCTTTCACTTGTTTATTTTATTGTTAATGTTTTAGGTATAATATCACCAAAGGCAGTGCATACTTAAAACCAAATTAAACACTTGCTTTCTATTTATAGTTTATATTTGGTGTTAAAATGACGCAGTGGTTTATTGGAGACAACAAGATTGATGTGTGCCTGTTTGTTTTTCAGAAATTACAGTTGCAGTCGGGGGAACTGGGAAAGCACAGATAAGTCCTTGATGCCACCTCGGAAAGTGTGATTCTGGAGAAAGACTTTGGTAAATTATTGAAGTATAAACTGACAATTATTTCAATCCATTCAGCAAGTGCTAATTTATCGTGTTACAAATTTACAGAACTGATGTTCACGTTTTTCTTTTCCACAGCACACATAACCCAAAATTGGACTTTGAGGGAAGCGAAAGCCGTTCACGACTGGCGACATCCCATGCAAGTTCCTAACAAAAAAAACACGTGAGAAACATTTGGTGTAGGGACAGAAAACGTTCAAGCGGTTGAAGTTAGCAGATATACAATCCTGTGTTCGTAAAATGAATTTAATGAATCAAAGCAGTCAAGTGAACATTTTGTCCTCAAAGTTGATGTGTTACACGAAGCAGGAACAAAGGGGCAGTGTGAGGATCTGAGCGCACTTCTTGACAAGGGGCCAATTGTGAAGGCTAGACGACTGGCTTCAGAGATCTCCAAACCTGCAGCTCCTTGTGGGGTGTTTCCGGTCGCAGTGGACAGTACCTATCAAAAGTGCTCCCAAGGAAGAAAAGCGGTGAACCGGAGACACGGGTCATGGGGGGCCCAAAGGCTCATTGACTGCACGTGGGGAGTGAAGGCTTGGTCCTTCTGGTCCGATCAAACAGACCGAGCTAACCGCTGCAGCTCAAACTGCTGAAACAGTTAATGCTGGTTCTGATAGAAAGGTGTCAGAACACACAGTGCATCACAGTTTGTTGGTATGGGACTGTGTAGCATTATGAACCCAGGTGGTCAGAATATTATGATGGTTATCAGTGTATATTCAACTTAAATGTGGTGCAGTGAACCTTGCAGCCTGTAGAGGTTGCCAGCAGGGCTTTACTCTCATATTATACATCTGCCACTTTCCCTTTAAAGAAGCTCTCCTGCTAGTGGCTGTGGCACTTCATGTAGGCAAACAGCCTAAAGTTGCAACATTTCGCACTGAGGGAAAAGGAACTCTTCAGCATGACGGTGTCTATAATATGGAACTGTACAATATGTGTAATGTATACATCTTTCCAGTTAAAAAAGACTGGCATTGTCAGTATGAAGTGATTTATTGATGTTCTGTCATTTCAGCTACTCGGCACTGAAGAAAGACGGTCAGCGTCTGTCTGTCATGCTGAAAAAAGGTCATAAGGTTGAGGCCAAACCAGCCAGACCAGTCACTGTGTATAACCTGACCCTGCAAGAGTTTAAGCCTCCTCTCTTCACTCTGGGTTAGCACACATTGCTTAATGCAGCATTTCTGTCTTCTGTGTCAGTGTTTCTCAAACAATTTTACACCACGTACTACCTCACAAAATACCAGGCTGTCCAAGTACCATCATTATAACCAACGTTAAAATACAGCAGCGTAGGCCGACCCTATTCAGCTAAAGACAGTTTACACAGGAGACACCTTTTAATCCTGAATGGAACTGGTTCAAGAACCAGAGCTAATTTGTTAAAAAAAAAGTTACTCCTAGTCCACACTTCTCTTCCTTTTAGTTCCCATTTGGAATTATTATTGCAGTGTTTTTGAACCATTCATTTTACCCCCTGTTACTATCTTACCATCACTTTTCAGCTCCTAACTAATCATGGATGTATCCATGTGCTATGTGCATGAACGTGGTAAATGGTAAATGGACCTGTCTTGCGTAATAGTCGCCTTTCTAGTCTCCCGACCACTAAATGCCACATTCAACCCTTTCACACACATTGCACCAAGTGATTGGTAACAGCCCATTCGAGACAGAAACTAATGCATTCATACACATTCACGACACCGACGCCACCAGCATCAGGAGCTATTTGGGGTTCAGTATCTTGCTCAAGGATACTTCGACATGTGGCAGGAGGAGCCCACTGTTTTCCACTGTTTCCATTTTCTTTTTATGTAGAATTTACAATTAAAATAGTTTTATTTCTGTAACAGATATTGAGTGCGGTGGTGGATTCTATGTCAGAAGCTTGGTGGATGACCTAGGAAAAGGTGAGATTCATTCTATTTCACAATTTCCTTATCAGCATCATTATGGAAAATGTTACAATCTGAGCCAGAAATCAACGCTGTTGACACTTAACCATGAGAATAAACGGTTCCTGTGTGCTGCAGCTCTGTCGTCGTGTGCTCATGTGAAGGAACTGATTAGGACCAAGCAGGGTCAGTTCACCCTGGAGGAGCACGCCTTATATGAGGAGAAGTGGACCCTAGAACATATCCTGCGCTCTCTGCAACCCTTCTCACACTCAGAGCAGGGCCCGGATTGTACAAAACCAGCAGAAGCCGACACCTGAGGAACACACACTGAACAAAATGAAAGTGGCGAGCTGGGGTTGCTGTCCCCTCAATGATTAGTTACCACTCACCTGCTTTGCTTTTCCTGTGAAGAGAACATCCTGTCTAAACACGTCAAGTTGAAGGTGTGTTGTTGAGCAAGAGAAGTGTGACAAGTTGAGACAAATGTCAAAACTCAAAAGCACCACACAACTAATCGATTTAATCGCAAAACATTATCAACAGATTAATCAATAATGAACATAGTCACAGAGACTTACAGTGTATATTAAACACTAAAAGAAACATTTTCAAACTGCATGATTTATTGATTTATGCGGAAAATACTCTAAATAGTATACTTTTATACAGTTCCTTTATTAACATAATTTGTTTTAAATGTACGGAATCTTTTAAGCTCAGCAGAAACATTAACTTAAAGGTGCTGTAAGCATTTTTTGTTATAAGTGTTAATTACCTCTACATTCCGACAGCCATCACAAAGTGTTCAGCCAGTAACGTGGGTTTCCCAGTCCCTTCTTTCCGCAAACAGAGGATATATTTTCTGGTATCCTGTTCCCACTTCATCAAATCAGGAGAGAGAACTCCACAAAGAGGCAGTGCTCAACAAGGCAGCAGAATTTCACCGTGGTGACGTGGGGAGGAGGAATGCTAACTGCAAATACTGACAGGAAGTTAGCCAAAATGCCGATTTCAATTACAGCACCTATTTAAGGTCCAGTGTGTAAAATTTAGGAGATCTATTGGCAGCAATGGGAAATAATATTCATAGGTATCTGGTAATAAGTGTATAAACAAATAAGAATTGTTGTGTTGTCGTTACCTCCCTTGTTTATTTTCCTTCATTTAGAATCTAAATAATGTGAGATCCGTAATGGCCGTTAAAATGTTAGACAGTCTTGTATTAAATACTTATCAATTACACCTTCTGTAGCAATGCTGGAGAATACATTCATAAAGCAAGTCAAATATATATTAGTCATTTTACCTGCAGATTTCTTTATGGAACTGCCATGCTGTTTGCTCTAAACAGTGAAACAGTTTCTTTTCTTCCGATACACGGTGTTGAGCTGTTTTTGTTTAGTTTTTTTAAGATTGGTGTACTCAACATCTGAAAGTGTTCAGATCAGCAGTGGTACTGCATGTGTAATTGAATTTGTTTTGCACTTACAAATTAAATATTCAAGTGAAAATAACATTTTGTCTTTGTTAATACTTAGATTTAGATTTCAACATCATTCAGAGTGGCTGCTAGTAAAAGGACTAACTAGGAATCACTGTCTTTTCCTGCCCATTACTACACATCTGATTGTCTGACACAACGCTGGAAAGCTATAGTGCCTTTGACAGTAATTAAAGCAAAAAAGTATGGGATGCATACTTACTATGGTAGCTGTGATTGCAGTCTATTCCTAGTGTGCTAGATGAGAGTTTTTCTAAATGCAGAAGTCTTGTTTTACATTTGTTTTCTTTTTTCCTGTGTTTCTTCCTCTCTTTTAAACCTAACTTTACTGCCTCATATCTTCCATAAATAACAGGAGAGGAAATATCAGACTTGGTGCATACTTTGTGGTTTGACTCTCAGCATGTATGCCTGAATTACTAAATATAAAACCTATTGTAGTTTGTCAAAAAATAGGTGTACTAACTTAAGTCAAAGTCTTGACTTATCTCATGATCTCAACATAGTAACCTAGAAGATTTACTGCGTCAATCCCCAATGGGGAAATTAATATTCTAATGGGTCCAAAATACAGTCATGCACACACAGGGCTTATAGACATGCAGGAGAGCTGGTGGAGTGATGGGCTGCCATGTAGCAGCGCTTCAGGAGTTAGGCAACCTTTTGGTTTCCCAAAACCTTCCATTTCCCGAGACAAGTCTTAAAAGGGTTGATTTTCTTTGCCACTGTCACAAAATGTTTGCTCATGGTGGGAATTTTTGGGTCTCTGTTAATCATTTTATAAGGAGTACGGTCTAGGCCTGCTGTATTTTTAAAGTGTCCTGAGATAACTTCTGTTATGATTTGCTATTGACATCTCATAGGAGGGACACTTCAATATTCTGGAAATATTTCCATTACTAACATTATATTCGAACAAAAATGACAAAAAGCAGTTTACATACATTTTATATGATCATTTTATATAATTTTTGTTGTTCACAGCCAAGCAACAAAAGGCCACAAACCTGCTCTCTTCTTATCAGCCGCTTGCACACATTTGCACCTTTGACCTTTGCCATTATTTTCTGCCAAACAAAATACCATTTTAAAAACAATTGTGTTTTTATTTGTATTGTATATGAACAGGTAACTGAGATGAAACAACTAGAGAAAATTATAATCTTGAAGGCTAAATTATAATATATTTTTGACATATTGATGTGGCCCGGATAGAGGGGGATGAAGAAAATGAAGAAAATGGCCCCCAGCCCGGCAGTTTAAGATCCCTGACAAAGTAAAATCACTCCATTCCTATCTGACGCTTCCAGTACACATTAAAATGGGGCCTATTAAAGGACCAGTAGTTTTTGAGGGATTTAAATGAAAGTAAAAAGTGTAACGACCAACCCTGTTCTCCCCTACAAGCACTGTAACTCATTCATTGTTAGGGACTAAGTAACATTCTAAATGTAAGATGACTCTTATATTCATATAATAATAATAATAATAATAATAATAATAATGTTGTTGTTTTTATTCCTTTTCTATCACTGTGTAAACTGACTATGTGACATATTTTACTGATATTTCATATTATATTCAATGCATAACAATAGAACCACTAATACACTGTACAATGAACCCAAACAGTGAACACAATAACTGCAGGACATTTGTTAAAACCAGAGATTTGGATAATTATCAGCAGATTATGATGTGAATATTACCTGGAGGTGAGTTTTCCTGATAGTTTTAGGATTTTTTAATATAATTTGGTCCAGGCCCCCAGGTTGGGAACCACTGGTTTACGGTTTATTTACATACTTGCTGGTCAAATAATGTAGGACTATGTTATTTTATTACAAATAAAATTATTTACCTTATTTGTGGGTTTTTATTATTTACCTGCGTTTGGTGTAGCTCTGTGTGAAGACAGAAGGAGACACGGTGTGCATGTTTTTGTGTGCAAAACAAAATTCCAATAAATATATTTTTAAAAGTCGTGCAGGTAACACTGATAATGTGTCATTGAGATTTTTTAGTTATTAACTGTCACATATTGGGCGCCAGCGGCCAGTAGCAGCAGCCTGTTGAGCTGCCCCGCAGCCATCAATCCTTCCTGGACAGGAGTCTGACGCCGCGGGGAGCCGGCTGGATCAATGAGCTGCAATCATTGTCTCAGTCCAAATATTAGCCATTTGGTGATTTCTTTCATGTCTTCAAGGCTGCTCATATCCCTGTTTGCTCTCTGAGTCCACTTTATCTAAATTACAGCCGTTAGAAAGTTGACTTTAAAGTCGCATCAGAAAATCGAAGCATTGGATCCTAGCGCGCTGCAGCCTGACATCATTTATGAAGTCACCTGGCAAATACAGATCAAGATGGCCCCGGGCACGTGCAGCTGTGGCCCCCAGAGAGGCAGCTTTAACTGTGGAACAGAGAAGTTCCCGGTTATTGTTTAACACTTTACGGAAACGCGTGTGAGGGGATAAACAGACACTTTAGTGAGCCATTAAACCCATTTGCATTTATAGTCAATATCGTAAGTGTATCACCTCCACCGCACTGATAGGCGGATTTCACAGGAAAACTCCAAACATTCAAATGATGAGTTAATCACTCGCCATTCAGTGTCACCGTTAGGGATGTGGATTGCAGTTGACTTGTACTACATTGTTAAAGATAACACTCAGAGCTGTTTGATGAGTGGGAGAAAAGGAGAGACATTTGACTGGCGTGTGGGCTGTGCGTAAAACCAGGGCCATCATCACATCGAGCTCAGCTCATATGGACTGTTTTTTTTCTTTGGGGGTTTAAGGTCCTGGAGGTTGGATTGGACATGTATGCTGGGTATTTTACAGGCGGATTACAGTACTTTTTGATTGGAGATCAGATTTGGAGAAGAACTGTTAGTCAGAAATTGGAACTATAGTAAAGTGCAAACTGATCATAATGAAACCCAAATATTCATATTTTATTTTTTGTATTAATTTATTTAGTTTACAACAGTATGGCAGTGAGGGGCCACTTCATAGAAACAGACATAAGTATAACATGTAAAGTACAGCATGTGTGTACACTTCATTCATGGAGACAGGCCCAAATCTCTAGAGTGTAAAAATAAATGATAAAAGGAGTGGAGGAGTATGACTTTATGTTCCGTAGCTGTTGGTCCTAGGGACCCCTGAGCAAGAGCCTCCAGTCCAAAGTACAGAAATCCTGATTCCGACCCTTTATTATTGAGTATCTGCTGATACAGAGTGATACAAAAAAATTTCATTGAATACAAAAATATACCTTTCTCTATTTTCTCTCTTCTTTGTTATTTTTTTCCTAACACACCTTCACAGCGTGTGTTTTGTTTTTACATTATTAAAATTAACACTGCAGTGTCAGGTTAATGTTTGACTGTAGAATGGCTCTGCTTTAAGAACCTGCATCATCATTTTGTATTAATCTGTGTATAGCTGGGGTGCCCAAAGTGGGGCCCAATTGGCATAAGATTCCATTTGGCCACCAGATTTGTTTTTTTAGCAAAAAACAATTTAGAATGTATTTAATAATATATATAACATGAATCACTGTGCTGTGAATCATTTATGCTATTTATTTGTGAGGTAAAAATGCTGTTTGGATCCCTAATTATTCATTATTTGTATAATCTGAGCACAGAGG